GTAAAAAATAATAAAAGAAAAAAAAAAACACTCCGGAAACTACTGCATTGGTTGAAGGGCGGGAGAACATACGCGCAAAAAAAGGTGACGCAGACCCAGCTGAAGCTGAAACCGAAGCGCCAAGCGAATTATGGCCAGTATGAAAATACTTTGTAGAAAAAAGGCGTGGTTGTCCTCGAGGATAGATATCCAATTTGCAACAAATGTGGACGCAAAGTGGCTGCAAAAGGAGCATTTAGGACACCATCCCCCCTGCAGATAAAGGTATGTCCCGATTTACGTGATGCAGAGGGAACCCCGGAATCCAGTCATGAAATTTAAATTTAAATAACGCACATGTCACGTACAACACGCAAAATAATGGATGGATGATCATGAATACATGGAAAGTAGAACTGTGCAATAAATCCAATCGCGACATGGTCTGTAAATATTTAAGCTTAGCACAAAAATACTGCATGTAAATATAACCCTATTCTGCTGAGCTGCGCCGCTTTGTCTACTCAAGTACGCGTGACATTCAGAGTCTCACAAACCATTTGAGGATATGAATACATGAACCTAATGAGCATTTTCATAATTTTATTTGAGATAAACCATTGTCAAATACACTTTGAAACACTTTTTTACACTTTTGGTCTTCACTACAACCCGTCAAAATAAAAGTTTGGTTTTACTAGGAGAAATTAGGACAGAAATATATTACTATTATATGCATACAATAGAACGTAGCCTACTTCTCTAAATAATAATAATAACAACAATAATAATACATTTTATTTAAACATTATTTAAAGGAATATATGTTGTCCATGGTTTAATTTAGTAAATCTGTTTTTGCAGCGCTTCCCCAAAAAATAAAAGGACACAATTTTAAATTTACATTTGATTACAACCGTTTTTGATAATATATTTGGATTAAATCATAAAAAGAAACATTAATTTTCTGAATAAAATACATTTCAGGACAATATTTTTCTTAAACATTTTAATAAATTATTACTGTTAAAAATAAGTTGTTAATCTAATTAATTATCAATTATCAAATTTAATTGATTAGACATGTTTTATTGAAATTTTAATAAACAAAACAAACAAATGGTTTCACGTTTGTTATAATAAAAGCATTTGTTCAACCAAAACAAAAAATCGTGTTTTCATTAAAGGGGCACTTCACCTCTGGAAAGATGAATGTGTATTTAAAATGGGTCATTTATGTAGAAGAAATGTGAAATTATTTTTGAATTTGGAGCTTTCTAGACTGAGAAAAGCCAGAAAATGTATTTTTGGCTTATGTGGATGAAAGACAACAACTCCCAGAATGCAATTGCTTCGCTGCCCTAGGAGGCCACGCCTACCGGTAACAGAGCGCAGATGTTAAACAACAAGCCTAGACTAGTGAGTCTCCGTGATGAGTCTGCCCGGGTTTTTCGAGATCGCCCATAATGTCCGGGATTCGGCTTTTGCGTTCTACAGTCGCCATTCATCATGTTTACTGTGGCGAGCAGGACGAGGCTAGGGCCGCGGGAGAACGGCGCGAGTCATGTTTACTGTGGCGAGCAGGACGAGTGAGGGCCGCGGGAGAACGGCGCGAGTCATGTTTACTGTGGCGAGCAGGACGAGTGAGGGCTGCGGGAGAACGGCGCGAGTCTACTGTGGCGAGCAGGACGAGTGAGGGCCGCGGGAGAACGACACGAGTCATGTTTACTGTGGCGAGCAGGACGAGTGAGGGCCGCGAGAGAACGACACGAGTCATGTTTACTGTGGCGAGCAGGACGAGTGAGGGCCGCGGGAGAACGACACGAGTCATGTTTACAGTAGCGAGCAGGACGAGTGAGGGCCGCGGGAGAACGGCGCGAGTCATGTTTACTGTGGCGAGCAGGACGAGTGAGGGCCGCGGGAGAACGGCGCGAGTCATGTTTACTGTGGCGAGCAGGACGAGTGAGGGCCGCGGGAGAACGGCGCGAGTCTACTGTGGCGAGCAGGACGAGTGAGGGCCGCGGGAGAACGACACGAGTCATGTTTACTGTGGCGAGCAGGACGAGTGAGGGCCGCGGGAGAACGGCGCGAGTCATGTTTACTGTGGCGAGCAGGACGAGTGAGGGCCGCGGGAGAACGGCGCGAGTCATGTTTACTGTGGCGAGCAGGACGAGTGAGGGCCGCGGGAGAACGGCGCGAGTCATGTTTACTGTGGCGACCAGGACGAGTGAGGGCCGCGGGAGAACGGCGCGAGTCATGTTTACTGTGGCGAGCAGGACGAGTGAGGGCCGCGGGAGAACGGCGCGAGTCTACTGTGGCGAGCAGGACGAGTGAGGGCCGCGGGAGAACGGCGCGAGTCTACTGTGGCGAGCAGGACGAGTGAGGGCCGCGGGAGAACGGCGCGAGTCATGTTTACTGTGGCGAGCAGGACGAGTGAGGGCCGCGGGAGAACGACACGAGTCATGTTTACTGTGGCGAGCAGGACGAGTGAGGGCCGCGGGAGAACGGCGCGAGTCATGTTTACTGTGGCGAGCAGGACGAGTGAGGGCCGCGGGAGAACGGCGCGAGTCTACTGTGGCGAGCAGGACGAGTGAGGGCCGCGGGAGAACGGCGCGAGTCTACTGTGGCGAGCAGGACGAGTGAGGGCCGCGGGAGAACGGCGCGAGTCATGTTTACTGTGGCGAGCAGGACGAGTGAGGGCTGCGGGAGAACGGCGCGAGTCATGTTTACTGTGGCGAGCAGGACGAGTGAGGGCCGCGGGAGAACGGCGCGAGTCATGTTTACTGTGGCGAGCAGGACGAGTGAGGGCCGCGGGAGAACGGCGCGAGTCATGTTTACTGTGGCGAGCAGGACGAGTGAGGGCCGCGGGAGAACGGCGCGAGTCTACTGTGGCGAGCAGGACGAGTGAGGGCCGCGGGAGAACGACACGAGTCATGTTTACTGTGGCGAGCAGGACGAGTGAGGGCCGCGGGAGAACGGCGCGAGTCATGTTTACTGTGGCGAGCAGGACGAGTGAGGGCCGCGGGAGAACGGTGCGAGTCTACTGTGGCGAGCAGGACGAGTGAGGGCCGCGGGAGAACGGCGCGAGTCTACTGTGGCGAGCAGGACGAGTGAGGGCCGCGGGAGAACGACACGAGTCATGTTTACTGTGGCGAGCAGGACGAGTGAGGGCCGCGGGAGAACGGCGCGAGTCATGTTTACTGTGGCGAGCAGGACGAGTGAGGGCCGCGGGAGAACGGCGCGAGTCATGTTTACTGTGGCGAGCAGGACGAGTGAGGGCCGCGGGAGAACGGCGCGAGTCATGTTTACTGTGGCGAGCAGGACGACGCTAGGGCCGCGGGAGAACGGCGCGAGTCATGTTTACTGTGGCGAGCAGGACGAGTGAGGGCCGCGGGAGAACGGCGCGAGTCATGTTTACTGTGGCGAGCAGGACGACGCTAGGGCCGCGGGAGAACGGCGCGAGTCATGTTTACTGTGGCGAGCAGGACGACGCTAGGGCCGCGGGAGAACGGCGCGAGGCCGGTGGCGTGATTACCGATGAGCGACACCTGTGAGACGCAGGTCTCGTATCTCTCACGGAGGAGCGGGAATTTCTTAGCAATGTCAAAACACACATCAACCGATCACTTGTTTAGCATTCATGTAAACACTACATTCAGGGGGGGGAGGGGGAGCACGGTAATTCGAAAATACTACAGGTTTTCTACTGATACAAAGCTTAATGCTAAATCCTGAAGTGACCCTTTAATTTAACTGTCATTTTAACTGATGATAATAATAATAATAATACTCATAATTTAATAATACAGTTTATTTATTTAATAATTGATTAATACTGTAAACCTTGATATTTTCTGAGACGTTATCATACTGTGAAAATCTCATACCATTACAAGCCTACACGGGAGAGTCCCCCACCCCCCACCCCCGCTGTTAAAAAAGTTACTCAGTAACTTTTACTCTGAGTAAATTTTAAATGAGCTACTTTTTACTTTTACTTGAGTAGATTTTTAGACCGGTACTTTTACTTGTACTTAAGTCAAATTTAATTGAAGTAGTAGTACTTTTACTTGAGTAGAATATTTTATTACTCTTTCCACCTCTGGCCATACCTGCACCACTATATCACAGCTTGAGCTCGGTCAAAGCCGTTGAACTCGGTAAAGCCGCAGTTTCCTCCTAATCTCTAAGCGTTTCTCCTCCATATCGCTTTAAAATATAGCATTCTGTGCAGAATTCAAATGGGTCCGATGTTTTCTGGTCTGCGCTGACTCACGAACATGATCCACTCTGTGCTATCGTGTCTCTGGACCGGAGCAGACTGTGGTGCGCTGCAGCGGTTCAGTGAGAAAGACTTCATTCACCCCGATGGAAAGCATATTTACTGTCTGAATCTCATATATAGCGCACTATTTGACATTCAACATGTAGATGAAAATAGTAAATGCGTTAATAAATGACTGATTTCAGCTGAAGCTTCAGCATCTATTTATAATGTAGGGGCGGGGACGCTTCAGATTCTAGAGAGCATTTAATTGGACAGAAAATCTGATGAGAAGCTGAGGTGCAGATGATTGGCAGATAAAAGAGATAGGTAAATTTTGAATGCTTATATCTTCTAAATGCAAATGTTGTCATTGTTTTGGAGCACACTACCTTATAGATAACAGTAAGGCTAACATCAAACTAAAAGCAAAACAACTTCAATTTTGATTTCATGGGGACTTTAACTCGTTTTTTGTAATAGGATGCAAAGGTAATTTAATACAAATTATAGTGTAATAAATGTACATACATTTTTTTTAAATGAAAATCAAATAAAATAAAAACTTTGCAGGATTTACGATGCTGATAACCGTTTAATCGCGTCATCACAGTCTGTGAAAAGGGACCATAAAGGATGCGCTTGAACTTAACTGGACTGAAAGACTGAAGGATGCAGGAGTATTGTTGTATTTTGTTTTGACAATGATGATAATTGTTGTTAATGTTTATTTTCTTTTATTCAAGCATTTAAAACATAAATAAATAAAGGATGCGCGCGTGTGAGTCCACCAATCAGATGCGCCGGTGGTGCGTCCTCCTCACAACGTGCCCGAAGCAAACTGTTTGATTTACTCCAAGTGTCTAGATTCGCTTCTCCAGTGATGCGAGTGGTAAATATTGATGAAGTGGATGGATGTCCAATAATAGGTGTACGAATTCCTCGCTCGAGCTGCTCTGCGAACAGTTTAATTAAATAAAATCTTATGCTGACAAAATAACATAGTAAGAGTGTAGGCTAAATTTTATGTTGTTTTTACACAAAAGAGATTTATTCTGTAAGAGATGGCTATAAATACGGACGCCCGTCACGCGACACATGTCCTGCGCGAGAGCGCCGCGCTGCAGTCCACCGATTTCGGAGATACTCAGAAACTTCTTGACATCTCAGACAAAGGGCTGAAGGGAGATTTAAACCACACACCTTCTGATACACACATCGTTACGTCTCTGGACTCGGACAAGAACGAACAGACTGATGATAACATTGACTCGGTGCCCTGCTCTCCATCGCGGGTCAGTTTCAGCCGCGCGCCGTCGCCCACGCCCGGAGAGCGCGAGCCAAGCAGCTTCATGTGGGTGGCCGTGATCTCCTGCTTCTGCCTGGCCGTTCCAATAAACCTGTTCGCGCTTTATTTCGCGCATATGGTGAGTATTGCCACCGGAGTACAACGTTTAAATAAGGTTACTTTTGGCATTTAACTTTTTTAGTTACGTTTAGAGTTTGAGTTATAACTTAGAATGCAGAGAGAGAAAGTAAGAAGAAACACTTGTTAGATTTTATGTTTAGGGCTGTGGCTCATGGGGCGCCTGCTAGTTCATAATGTCATGTGACTCATGGGGCCACCAACTGTTCAATTTAAAATCTACTATCATAAAGCAATTACTTATCCATGGTTTTCTTTCTGTTTCACTTCAGTCTCGGTCCATGATACAAGCAAAAGACTATGATGGGGGCAGAAGACTTGGACGTCTTGCTTTGTTGCTTAGTGTTGTTTCCATTGTTGTGGGTCTGGCTATAGTCCTTTATCTAGTGATGGCAGGTAAACCACCTCTCTTTTTCTCTACACACACCGCACGGGGGCGGGGGGGGGTGTGGGGGGGGGGGGGGGGGGGGGGGGACGTTGGTTGGGACGTTGGGGGGGCGTCCCAACCAACTGAACTTCAAAACCATGATAACTGTCAATACAGAATCAGAATACTAATATATAGCTGTTGTCCACAACCAAGTTGAAATGAGATCATTGCTTCTGCACACACTTAAATGTCTCTCTCATTTCCTTTTCTCTCTCCCAGAGATTAAGTAGTTGTGGACATCCTACATCCAAAATTGATGTAAATGGGTATTGGAGCTGAAACCAAAGAAGATGAATGATAAATGCCATGTGAAAACCTTCAAAAAACAAAGCTAGATTATCCATTTATGTAATATACAGTATTAAATTTGTTTTTCATTTTTTTACAAGTTTTTTTTTCATTTTTTTTCAGCCATTTCTTTTTCTGTTTTGGCAAATTAAGCTTTTTGCTTTATGTTTAAGCACAAAACTAATTTTGCAATAAATCTTTAAAAAAAAAGCATTTTTAATATTCTTATCTACATAAAACAATCAGCTGCATAATTTTGAATTCCATACATTTTAACTCTTTCAAATAAGAATGATTCCTATGCAAAGTGAAATCTATACATTTTATTTCTTTATTTTTTATTCTATAGTACATTATGCTAATGTATGCATGTTGCAATAGTGAGAATATGACATCTGTTCTGAAGCTGGTGCATACAAAAGCACATTGTATTATTGTAATATACATTGCATTTTATGTAATCTGTTTAAAAGGACAGTTCACCTAAAAATGAATCTTCTGTCATTATTTACTCACCATTATGTCATTCTGATGAACTCTTAGTGCATCGACTATCCCTTAAAACATGTTTTTTTAATAACATTTCTTTTTATTAAAGTATTTTTATTCCTTGTCATTTTGATGCATAGCCTTATATAAGATCGCACAAATGCAAGAGGGAGGTATGCAGTGGAGATAGCTGGGTATAGCACAAATATTGTATTGAAAATATGTATTGAAGTAGTTGCACTAAGGCTGAACAAGGGCTATATTCAACCAAGAGCACATGCATGTCTGAAAAAAACAAAACGACAGGTGCATTCGAATTGTGCAAATTTGCTAAAACGGTGCCATATTTTTGCATGTTATAAATTAAACTAAACATACCCGATTGTCTAGTTGAAGTGTGATTTTTGCAGATTGTTTGACAGAGTTCCATTCGCACAGGAAAAAACATGAAGTATTCTGTTTTCACAAGGATAAAATCAGGTGTGATTATTTCATTGAAAAAAGTGCATCCTGTTCTGCTGTCAGCCATCCAGCCGCCAGAGCAATGCAGATCAGAGGAAGCACGTCTGGTAACTGATATCCTCGTCACGTAAGTCCATTCCTTTCGTCTTTACATTTACTCATTATTGGCCTCAAATGGAGGTTATTATTATGCTATTCTTGCATTCAAGTCTAATTTGGTGAGCATATGGTAAGACATACTGCTTTAAATGTTATTTTATGTTTTCGTAGTGAGTCTTTTAATGTTGTTCCTGGTTTTGACATGGATGCAGGATGTCCAGCACACAAAGACGTTTATAGCAAGCATCTATTTTCCAAACCTTTTGCTTTCTTCCTGTTCATAAATGATCTAAACCTCCACTAATGGCTGTGTTCAGATGGGGATAGTTAGAACGATAAAAGCTTGTAAATGGGTTCGATGCAGAGGCCAATATCACAGAGCAATACTAGTGTATATTACAATATTCGCCTTTAAAACATATACTAAAACCCATTTTATAATATATTGCTTTCGCTTCTCCAGTTTAATCAGAATGGAGTTACAAACATTAATAAAATATTTAGTGTTGCCATTTGACAAACATTCTCATTTGTAAATTAGCTTATTGCAATTTATTTTTTAGAATGATCTTGTACAAAATACCACTAAAATTAAGTATTTGATGTGCAATCTGACAATTTCGTTTTATTTATGATTATTGTAAGATTAAATATATATACTGTATGTGTATATATATATTAGTGCTGTCAAATCGATTAGTCACGATTAATTGCATTTAACAAAAGTTTGTAAATATATCCCTCATATACACTCACCTAAAGGATTATTAGGAACACCTGTTCAATTTCTCATTAATGCAATTATCTAATCAACCAATCACATGGCAGTTGCTTCAATGCATTTAGGGGTGTGGTCCTGGTCAAGACAATCTCCTGAACTCCAAACTGAATGTCAGAATGGGAAAGAAAGGTGATAAGCAATTTTGAGCGTGGCATGGTTGTTGGTGCCAGACGGGCCGGTCTGAGTATTTCACAATCTGCTCAGTTACTTAGGATAAGTCAATTGTATTGTAATTTGTTACATTGTATTTCTAACTGTTGTAAGGCCAATGTATTTTTTTTTAAGTGTGGCTGATTCATTGTATTGTTAATGTATTATGTCTTGTATGTTTATTGTATTTATTATATTTTGTATTTTAATGTGGAACTTTTATTGCGGCCTTCTTGGCCAGGGCTCCTTCGTAAAAGAGACTTGTTCTCAAAGGATTTCCCTGGTTAAATAAGGGTTAAATAAAAAATAAATTAAAAAAAATCTCCACTACAAATAGGAAAAAGAGGCTACAATTTGCAAGAGCTCACCAAAATTGGACAGTTGAAGACTGGAAAAATGTTGCCTGGTCTGATGAGTCTCGATTTCTGTTGAGACATTCAGATGGTAGAGTCAGAATTTGGCGTAAACAGAATGAGGACATGGATCCATCATGCCTTGTTACCACTGTGCAGGCTGGTGGTGGTGGTGTAATGGTGTGGGGGATGTTTTCTTGGCACACTTTAGGCCCCTTAGTTCCAATTGGGCATCGTTTAAATGCCACGGCCTACCTGAGCATTGTTTCTGACCATGTCCATCCCTTTATGGCCACCATGTACCCATCCTCTGATGGCTACTTCCAGCAGGATAATGCACCATGTCACAAAGCTCGAATCATTTCAAATAGGTTTCTTGAACATGACAATGAGTTCACTGTACTAAAATGGCCCCCACAGTCACCAGATCTCAAACCAATAGAGCATCTTTGGGATGTGGCGGAACGGGAGCTTCGTGCCCTGGATGTGCATCCCACAAATCTCCATCAACTGCAAGATGCTATCCTATCAATATGGGCCGACATTTCTAAAGAATGCTTTCAGCACCTTGTTGAATCAATGCCACGTAGAATTAAGGCAGTTCTGAAGGCGAAAGGGGGTCAAACATAGTATTAGTATGGTGCTCCTAATAATCCTTTAGGTGAGTGTATATATATATACACTCACCTAAAGGATTATTAGGAACACCTGTTCAATTTCTCATTAATGCAATTATCTAATCAACCAATCACATGGCAGTTGCCTAAATGCATTTAGGGGTGTGGTCCTGGTCAAGACAATCTCCTGAACTCCAAACTGAATGTCAGAATGGGAAAGAAAGGTGATTTAAGCAATTTTGAGCGTGGCATGGTTGTTGGTGCCAGACGGGGCGGTCTGAGTATTTCACAATCTGCTCAGTTACTGGGATTTTCACGCACAACCATTTCTAAGGTTTACAAAGAATGGTGTGAAAAGGGAAAAACATCTAGTATGCGGCAGTCCTGTGGGCGAAAATGCCTTGTTGATGCTAGAGGTCAGAGGAGAATGGGCCGACTGATTCAAGCTGATAGAAGAGCAACTTTGACTGAAATAACCACTCGTTACAACCGAGGTATGCAGCAAAGCATTTGTGAAGCCACAACACGCACAACCTTGAGGCGGATGGGCTACAACAGCAGAAGACCCCACCGGGTACCACTCATCTCCACTACAAATAGGAAAAAGAGGCTACAATTTGCAAGAGCTCACCAAAATTGGACAGTTGAAGACTGGAAAAATGTTGCCTGGTCTGATGAGTCTCGATTTCTGTTGAGACATTCAGAGTCTCAATTAGGTAGAGTCAGAATTTGGCGTAAACAGAATGAGGACATGGATCCATCATGCCTTGTTACCACTGTGCAGGCTGGTGGTGGTGGTGTAATGGTGTGGGGGATGTTTTCTTGGCACACTTTAGGCCCCTTAGTTCCAATTGGGCATCGTTTAAATGCCACGGCCTACCTGAGCATTGTTTCTGACCATGTCCATCCCTTTATGGCCACCATGTACCCATCCTCTGATGGCTACTTCCAGCAGGATAATGCACCATGTCACAAAGCTCGAATCATTTCAAATTGGTTTCTTGAACATGACAATGAGTTCACTGTACTAAAATGGCCCCCACAGTCACCAGATCTCAACCCAATAGAGCATCTTTGGGATGTGCTGGAACGGGAGCTTCGTGCCCTGGATGTGCATCCCACAAATCTCCATCAACTGCAAGATGCTATCCTATCATTATGGGCCGACATTTCTAAAGAATGCTTTCAGCACCTTGTTGAATCAATGCCACGTAGAATTAAAGCAGTTCTGAAGGCGAAAGGGGGTCAAACACAGTGTTAGTATGGTGTTCCTAATAATCCTTTAGGTGAGTGTATATTAGGGGTGGGAATCTTTGGTCACCTCACGATCCGATCCGATTCCGATTCTGGGAGTCACGATCCGATTCCAGAACGATTCTTTATCTACCTCCCCCACCCCCACCCCCCTTATTTTTTTTTTTTTTTTATTAAAACAGTTGTATGTTAAGAATTTTAAACTAATATAACAAATAATAAAGAGGAGCATAGAAAAATATAACAAACAACAAACAAAAAGTGCTTTCAGTAGCCTATAGATTATCTGAACGTTTTCCATTCAAGAACTGTGAGGGATTTTTCTTCATCTTTACTGTTGTTTTTTACTATGACATCATAGACTGTCACTGCGGGAGATCTATTAAGCTGTATTCACGCACGCATCTCTTTTGAAATAAAAGAAGTAATGCGGTGTGCCCTGTCCGTTTAATCCCTTAAGACATAACTGGCTGTGTTTACGTTAATTTTGCACAAGTACATTAAACCACTACACGGAGTCGCACAGCCGCATGCGCGAGCAGTCTCACAAACAAAGCGCGCGTCAGCATTTGAAATTGAAAGCAGCCTTCTGTTAGTGAGGTTCATATTTTAAATATATAAGTCCACTGCATTCCAAACCACATAAATGATGACTTCGTAGAGCATTTGTAAGGAAAATACCGACGGGCGAGACAGCACACTTCAAGTGTAACATCAAAGAAAGCGCGCGTCTCTCACAGCGTATCCTGTGCAATGAAGCCTGTGAATGTCCTTGTAATTCGCTTCA